GTCTTTTTTTTTCTCTATGTATATGCCTAAAGAATGAGATAAAATTACCTGACTTTTTTCAAGAGGGGAAAACCTTGAATTTTGAAGAACTTAAAAGGGTCATTCAAAGCCGAGAAAGCTTGTTTTTGTCCATCTAGGGATCAAAATTTTCCCGGTTTCATTTTGGGATTTTGGAAACATCTTTGAACCCCCCTCTTTCAAATCCTGTATCTGCCCCTGAATTTTATGCAATTATTTCATTTCATTTATTAATAAAGTTAATAAGACTATCAATGTTATCATCAATACCGTCACTAATAACTAATAACAAATCACCATCACTACTATCAATATCCGTATTAATAATACTAATAATACCACTGTTAAAACCAATATTTATGTTATAATTACCTACCAATACCAATACATATGTACATTTTCTCTGTGTGGTTATTATTTTTGTACATTTTACAGTTATATAATTATAACATATAATCGATTAAGTGTTAAAAAACTCTGGAATAATGATATTCGTTGTTGATACTATTATTGAAACATTTTCAGGGAAAAGTATGAAAATCAAATATATTTTCATTTAAACGTGAATATTTTTGAAGAAAGGATGAAAACATTCAGTATTTTAAAAAAGATCAGAACTTCAGAAAAATGAGAAGTATGATAAACTATTTAATACTTTATATACAAATATAATTCTTAAACAAGAGTTTTTAAGAGCTATTTACAGAGAATGTGGCAGTTGTAAAATTAGAGCCTAATATGTTGTTTATGGTGACCCACACCGGACGCTTAGTGACTACACTACAGAGTGACATGGCGTATCATTCTCTGAACGTGCAGACCACAACATGGTCTGCCAACGTGGGTACGCAACAACTGTTGTCACGAACGCTATGAATACATTACACTGCCTGACATTATGTTTTGTTGTGGTTGTGTACCGCTGTGGTGCTCTGTGTAAATAGGCCTTAAAATACTCTTGTTACTGTATCAGGTACTTGCCAACATACATTGTATTGCTCACATGTTCACAAATGTGTGTCCAATAATACCCATTATTTTCTTCCATTCAGTTCCAAGTGTGCTGATAATAGGCAGCAGAATGAACAAACATTTTCTGATCAGTATTATTATTTTTATGTTTAGCTTGTATTTATTATTTATTAAATTATTTCTAAAAAATTATGGAAATTAATTATCTATTAATTTAGGGAATAGTTACATTTTAATTTTCCATTAATTTACGGTATAGATACGTTTTTCAGGAAAATTACATTGACTCCTATTGGGGTATCAGAAGTTGATTATCAAATATATTTCCAACGCATTTTTTTTAATGAATTTTGAACAAATGTAAATATATAATATATATATAGAGAGAGAGATATTTAGGCTGTCATTCATTTTAAGGTTGGATCATTAAGGTTAAATTAATTTTCTTATAATTTAAGCCGGGGAAAATATCTTTAAACTTCGATTACTTGGCCATTACCGTCGCAACTTTTTACACAATCAAGTACTGTAACGCCCGAATTCCAGAGGGCGGCAAACATATTTTTCTATATCCATATTGTGATTATTAACATATAGTAGTGTGGTGGACGCGACGACCTAGCATGTACAGGTTATTTAGTCATTTAAGTTTTTTACTTAATACCTGCTGAAGTCAATGACTTGGTGAAGGTGCAAATATTATTTATTGAAATGTATGAATGCGACAATAAACTACTGTTACATTGTTTACGACTTGTTCCCTGTCATTATTTCTGCAGATTTCTGCAGATTTGGTGATTCAGTTTGAGTGGAAGCTCGTCGTGGCAAAGCTGGTTGGTGTGTGTGTGTGCCAAAGTTTGGACAATGTTTGGTCTCTGGTTCAATGCAATCAGTGTAGCATTTGCCCGTGAATTTCAGCTGGAGGATAGACGTATTTAATTATTCATGGAGATTTCTGTAGTCATGGACTGATAGCGCTAGTTCAGTCGCGGCAAAAACAGTGTGATCCCTGGTTAGATTCTAACCATTGGTTCCCGGTTCAACCATGGAGGAATTACTTAATCAATCAATCATGTAATGCTCAAAGAAATGGTAGTATGCCACTGATGAATGTAACAATGGATATCTCTGTGTCCCACCCTCGTACAAACATGTTTATGTATGCTTTAATTCACAAAAAATGTACACACGATACACAACAAATATAGATCAATATTATAAAAATTCTGCACTTCCGAAATAACAATCCATACAATATGATCCAGATAGGTTATGTTGTATACAAATCGAAGAGTAATAATGAGGTATCCTGTTATCCTTTTTACGACACAAAATGAACAACACTACTGTTCGGAACCACGTCAACTAGTACAGTATATAGATCTTCTAAAACCGGCCCTCTCCTTATAAGGACATTGAGTACGTATCAGGATCGTGATGGAGATACAGGCAGATTTCTTTACGTTGTAGATAATAAACTTAGGCCTAATGCTGTATTCTTGACACACGTTAGCAAGTGATTGTCATCTCATAGAAGGAGGAGCAAAGAAGATTCCTGATATTGTTCACAAATAGTTTTCTATTTGTGAACAATATCAGGAATCTTGTTCACAAATAGTTTTCTATTTGAAATCTCGAAATACACTTTTTTTTTATAAGAAGACATTTTATAAGAAAACTGAGGCTGAAATTGCTTAAAAATTAAGAACAAAATAAGAACAAATTGATGCTGAGGTAGAATGTCAAACTAGAAAAACCAAAAAATCAGGCCCGTAGCCAGGGGGGGGGGTTTATGGTTCGGGCGAACCCCCCTTTTCTAGCGAACCCCCCCAGTTTTCTGGCGAACCCCCTCAAATTTTTGAATGAGTCCCACTCGGACGGAATGTCTGTTTTTAACTTACCCAGTATTAAATCAAAATTTAGCACCTAATTTATTATTTGGTCACCCGTTTTTAAATTGCAGCCTACAATACAAGCCTACATTCATAGAATATCTCAGCTTCAGAAGTTTGGCGATTTAAATCTCCGGCAAACCATGACTTTACGATAGCTCACATAAGGATCATGGCAAACGTCGATAAAAACTTTCACTGGCTTTTGGCTGAATGTTTGTAAGAAATGTACCAACCGGTAACGAAACCGCTGCGCTCTGCCTGAATAGTGATCGTAACTGAAAAAATAATGATGCAGCAACACGCTTGGTCAACTTGTAAAAATTTAGAGCCTTCTGTTTGTTTACCCATAAAACAAATTTTGGAGTGTTATACAGTACGATTTCAAAACATTGTCATCGTAAAGAAACAGCTATAATATTGAAAACAAACAACTTGAAACAAAATCGGTGTACGGATTTAAATAAATATTTACAATAGATTTTAATGGTCAACTTGTTATCATATTTTACGACTAATTTTTACATACATTTGTGAGTGACGGTGTGTAATAGACATGCAAAACAAACATTAGCGGTTAGCTGTACAGTGTAATTATCTTTGAATATCATTTTAGACTGATTCATTCATATGCTTGGTCATCTTCAGGGGCGGATCCAGAAATGTCCAAAAGGGGGGGCCGGAATGGGGGGCCGAAAGTTGGGCCGATTGAGACAACACTGTCGTAGGGGGTCCGGGGCATGCCCCCGCGAAATTTTTGTGTTCTAGACGCCCGAACATAACATTTGAGGCATTCTGGGCTATCATTTTTTTCTTTTTCTCTCTTTTTTCCCTTTTTTCCCCTTTTTTTTACCTCCCAAAAGGGGGGGCCGGGGCCGGGCCGGCCCCCCCCCCTAAATCCGCCCCTGATCTTGTAATCATTTAGAATTCAACAGTTTTTAATAATAGGTCCGTATCTCTAACACTTCTAGACGTAGTATCAAATTATAGTTGCCATAGACCCGGTTTCATACACGCTCGCTTAAGTAAATTTCAAAGGAAACTGATTTCCCAATTTTTCTTATTGTTTAATACTCCTATGCAATACTATAGGCCCCTCTGGTATAAAATTGACAGATCAATTTAGACACTCTGTAAAGATCGATTATGCCCTTTTATATAATAAGGCCCGGTAGGCCTAATGTCTGTGTGAAGTACTGACTTTGTTAACATCGAATGGGTGAAATTGCGCACAAACTTCAAACTCTTGGCCTAACATACAATGCCAGAGGAAAGGATATCACGTTTTATTCACCAAAAAGGATTTTCCACGGACGCACAGAGGAATAGTTTTTCTAAATTTTTAATAGTATGGCCCAAAGCGAACGAGTTTCTGGTCTCGAAAATCAGACACTTCGTTAAGGCTTATACAGTACAGAATACTGTACAGAATATAATTCATTGAAAAAGCTTTAAAATGAAGGATTTTTAAATGAAGTTTATATACTAATATTTTACGAATCTTGGGTTTTTAAAAGCAATCTTGGGATTTTTTAGACCCAATCTTGAATTTTGATTTTCCCTTGTGGTCACGCGCTGCATTTAGAGACAGAATTATACCCCGACGACATCAAACTAGTGTAGGCCTAGGCTTAAGTACAGTAGGACGTACTACTAGGCCTAGGCTTTTGTAGTAAAAGTTGAAGTGCATGTACAGGATGCGCCATAGGCCTATATTTA